ATAACTCCATTTTAAATTAAAACAGCAAATTAATCATCTTTAGGAAAAATATTAAGCAATTTTCTCTCAACAATTTTTTTAATTCCTCCAGATGCCAACAATATTTGATTAATTCCTTCTTTAGCAATTAAAGGAAACATGTTAATTAATTCATTTAAATCTTTCTCTTAAAAATTAAATATAAAAATTAATTAGGATTTTTTTAAATTATTGAAAATTTTATAAATTTTAACTCCAAAGTGTGTCGAAACTATTTTGGAATAAAAAAGACTAAGAAATTTTAGGCACGTTCTAAAATATCTTTCTACCCCGATACATGTATTTTTGAATCAAAATTAATTTAAAAATTTAATCATGTTTTTTACACCTTATTGGAAAATAGTTCCATGTTTTCTGATAACGCGACCTATCTCTTATATACTCAATTATTTTTAATTTTATTTCGTGTCTGTAATTGATTATAAATAAAATTTACCAAAATCAGAATATTTATGAATTTTATGTTTTGAAAAGTCGTAAACAAAAGGATTAGCTTTCAGATCTTTCCCGAAATTTGCTTCTACAGAACAACACTGTATTCGTATATATGGTTTATAACCATCACAATTGTCATTCAACAATATTGGGTTGCCTTTAAAAAATTTTTATTTAAAAATATTTAAATTTTTGGTATTTCTCCCTTATATGCTTGCAAATTCTTTTCTGTTACTTAACTCATTTATTAAAAAAATCGTAAATGGTGCAAATTGTTTTATTGCATGAGATAAACTAATCTACTTATTCCTCTCCAAATCTCTTAATTCCCACCTTAATCCTATCTAGATCCTTTAGTAAACACTTAATCACTTCACATCATCCAATATCCCTCCAAAGTTACCTTAATCCATGGAAATCATCCGATATTCCAAATACTTTAAGCCGCAAGTGGAAATTTTTAGAATTTAGACAAAAATTCTTCCGAATTACGGAAAGCGTATGATAAAACGCCGGAACTCGTAATTCCATTCAAACCCTTGTACACTTCGGCCACCCTTAACACGCAGAGCCAGATAATTACTAGGGAATTTAAAATAGTAACTAATCCTATACAAAGAAGAAGAAAAATAAAATAAATTGCGGAAATATAACAGAATGCACCAAAATTCTTAATACCAATTTGTTTTCCATTATGAGTAAAGAAAACATAAGAAAAGTTGTTAGTATTAGTTGGTGGATAAATTAATCCACACCCAAAAATATCATTGTTATTCCAAAGAATATTTTTAAGACTAATGCATCCATGTTGATTTTGAACATTAAACCAGATATCTTTACTGCCATGTACATCAAAAATCAATCTTACATAATTTTTGCTGGAAAGACCGATATTAATGCTTCTATGATTAATTCTCTCCTCTTTAATTTTACTTATATATTTAACTTCAAAATAAAACAAAGAATATTTAGAACTGTCTTTTGGTTTATTAAATGAATTTTCACAATAAACTGTAGTCGGCTTATCACGTCCTTTAATAAAGTTTAAAAATTAGTAAAATATTTGTTTAAATAATAACTATAAAGACGAACACCCTTCTTAGCCTCAATATATTTAATGTTTTCATCACTAATCAAATTAGCAAATCCATTTCCCTTAACACACTTTCCAACAGGTTTTTCTGTATTGATGCATTTAGCTTCACAACAATCCTCCGTAAACCAATCACCACATTTTTCTTTAATTTCTTTCCATTTATTCGAAACATGAACGAAACACAATTGATTGTCTGTATTATTTATTTGTTCCAATTCCTCAGTCAATTCTCCAAACTTATTGTCAGTTGATTCCTCCATCTTCTATAAATTAAAATATTAAAGGTATATTAAACTTCATAATTTCTCTAGATTTTATATTCTATTTAATAATTTTGATTGTTTGGGAATAAGAACCATTATCAAAAGTATTACCAGCTATATTATTCATTATTTTATCAGGAAAGATCATCTCTGATTGCATTAATCTTATTTTCCCAATATGCCCAGTAATATTCCAAAACACTCGATATCATCTTAACCTCTAGATAAGAGATGTAAATAGATAACAAGATATCAGGAAGGGATATATTTAACTGTTATTTAGTTAAATATATGTTTATTTAAATTCAGTTTTCTACTTAGAATTTTTTAAATTACCTGTTTAACTTTATTTTCCAAACAAATTATTTTTTCATTTTTCTGCTCAATAAGTTCTTTTAAATTAGCATTTTGTTTAACATTTTCCATTTTTATTTCATCAATCATTTGTTGAAAAGTTTGTTTTAATTCTTCAACATTTATTTGATTTTCTGGCTTGAATTATATCAAAAAATTTAAATTATTCTAAAACACTTTTACCAAAACATTTTTACTGCCGGTTTCATTCTCTTGTTTTAAATTACCATTGGATTGCTGAAAATTGAAAAATACTTTTTTATTCATAAATTTTTATTTTACAATTAATTCATAATCAGAATCGGAAGATATGTCTTCTTTCATTACTTAGATAAGAAAGATTTGTTTTCAAAAAAATCTAAAAAATTTAAATTAGGTATAAGAGTAACTAAGTACATATATCAGAAATCGAACTCCCCTATTGAATTTGAGGTACTATATAAAATTTAAAAATAATTTCCTGAAATATTTTTATAAATCTATTTTAGATAAATTAACTAAAGCTACATACAAAATTCTCTTAAATAATTTTTTTGTATATAGACCGCCTTGTTTACAGTAGAAATATGTATTAAAAAATATTTTTTCATTTTTTATATTTTCCCAGACATTATAAGTAAATAATTGTTTTTATTTTCTAATAAGGTAAAATAAAAAACAAAGACAGGACAGAGGCAAACTCTCTAAACAAAAGAGCACTTCTTGCTCGTTTTTAGAGAGATAAAAAAATAAAAAAGTGTCATAAATACGCATATTTTACCACTATTTTGTCTGTAATGTCTATGATATTTGTTTGATATATTTTTCTGGGTATTTTATGGGAGTCCACCCCAAAGTATCGACACCCAGAGTATCGACGCCCAAAGTATCGAATGACCCAAAGTATCGAAACCCAAAATGACAAATTACCCAAAGTATCGAAAATATTTAAATTTTATTATAAAACACTGGGAAGTTTTTCGAATGACGGTTTTCGGAAGTTTTTCGAATGACGGTTTTCTTTCGATTTTCGATTTCGAAGATTTTGAAAAATATTTTCGATTTTCGATTTCGATATTTTTGGATTTTTTTCGATTTCTGATTTTCGAAGATTTTTTTTGTTTCGAAACATCTCTGATGCCGTATAATAAAATTTAAAAATTTTCGATACTTTGGGTAATTTGTCATTTTGGGTTCGATACTTTGGGCCATCGATACTTTGGGTGCGATACTCTGGGTGTCGATACTTTGGGTGTCGATACTCTGGGGTGATCCCATTTTATGGATATATCACCCTCCCCTATTTTGGGTCTCAGAGTTTTCTTTAATATGTAATAATGGGCAGACTTTCCTCCTTCACAATTTCACTCCATTTCCTTGTGGTGTATTCAAATTTTTTTTCTTTCTGCAAGATTGCCCTGCAGGATTGCTGGGGCTTAGCATCTTTTAGAAAAATGTTAGTTAATCAACTGAACTTTCTCATAAAAGTCAAATGGTTAACCAGGGAAGAAGCTGGGCGGTACAAAGCTAAAATGTGAAAATGATGATAAATGGACAAATTGGCGTGTAGCAATCAATAAATGAAATAGAAAATAAATAAAATAAATTAATAATAAATTTGAGCCAAATTTGTGCCTTTCGGCACATGCTTTGATATAACAAACGGGGTCACTTTAGTATATGGGTGCAGGCTTTAAATTACAAATGTTATACCAATTGAAAGAGCTCGTCGAGCTGAGTCGAATGCCACCAGTTTTAGCCCGAGGAAAAATTTTTGGACCGGGATATAGGTCCCTGAAATTTGAAAAACTATAGGGGGACCAAGCTGATTTTTGGGGTAAAAAATTCGAATATGCAAATTATACCTCATTCGAAAGAGCTCTTCGAGCTGAGTCGAATGACACCAAAATCAACGAAATCCGACTTCATATGGCCGAGCTACAGACACCCGAAATTTTGAAAATTTTTGGGGGGGCGATTTTTGGAATAAAAAATTTTCGATACAAATAATATCTCATTCGAAAGAGCTCGACGAGCTGAGTCGAATGACACTAAAATCACCGTGATTGAACAAGATTAGACAAAGTTATAACAAAAAACCTAAACCTATGGAGCGTCGGCGAGGCGCTTGTGCAAAACCCCGCGCTTCGCGCGGGGTTTTGCGGCACGCGCCTCGCGGGGAGTCTACGGGCGGTGGGTCTGGGCTCGTAACATAAACCTATTCCTATCTCCCTTGCTCTGGACGTATTTGGGGCCTCCGTAGCAGCAAAAATCTCCACAGATGTCATAGGTAAGGAGCTAAAATAAAAGATCATAACTTTGTCCAATCAAGTCGGATTTCATTGATTTTGGTGTCATTCGACTCAGCTCGAAGAGCTCTTTCGAACGAGGTATAATTTGCATTTTCAAATTTTTCAACCCAAAAAAGTGCTTGGTCCCCCCTATGGTTTTTCGATTTTCGCGGACCTATATCTCGGTCCAAAAATTTTTCCTCGGGCTAAAACTGGTGGCATTCGACTCAGCTCGACGAGCTCTTTCAAATGATATAACATTTGTAATTTAAAGCCTGCACCCATATACTAAAGTACAGCCTAACAAACTTTTATATTTGATCGAGAACGTCTTCACAAAGTGAATTTATTCATGCTTGACTTTTGTTAAAATAGTATTAAAATATTATTTTAGCATTAACTTTTGTCAATACTAAAACAATACCAAGAGATAACATAAAAATTTTAATATACGCGTTAAATTCTGGGAAAAACTAAAATTTTTAAATTATGGTTTGGGATAAAATTCACTTATGGGATAAAATTCAGAAATATTTTTTCATTTTAATTATTTTCCTCTTTAGACCAAATGTAGCACAAAACACCATCCCAGGTTGGAATAGTAAGTGGAGGTTGTAATGTTGTGTTTACTGTTATAATGGTATCTTAATTATAAAAAATAACTTTTTTAACAATATCATAGCATGTTTTCTGTAGTAGAACATTTGGGACGTATTTTTAAACCATGCTCCAAAGGAATGCTTAATTATAGAGGGGGCTATAATGCAGAAGGGGCTCTAATTCAGATGGTACTTTGTTTTTCAGTCATCCTCCAAAGGAGGCTATAAGTTAGCAGGGGGCTTTAATACAGAAATATACTTCATAATTGTTTACCCATTTCCACCAAATGCCAATAACGTCTAATTGCCAAATTAGCCCCACATTGACCTTCCTTCTTTGAACAATAAAATATTTCCCCGGTTGGAGAATAAAAAGTATCGGCACTTTCTTTTCCCATTAAAACAATTTTGTGGTCATTCATTGCTTTTTTTAAATTAAAAATTTAAAACTAAAATTTTTTAAAATTTACGAAATATTCCAAGTGCTTCACTTCTGTTTGTTAACATTTGTCCTAATTTAATTAGACATTTTTCTGGGCATTTTGAACGATCAGGTTCTGTCAAAACGTATCCTAATTGGCTCTAAAATTTAAAATTTTAATTAAACTATTTTTTATATAAATATACAGTATTTTTATATTCTGAACTAACAGAACTACTATATTACCATTATTAAAGTATTGATCGATTAGAACAAGAGGGCTCTGAAGAGACCGATTATTGGGTTAGAGAAGTTAGAGAAAAAATTTCTTCTCTTCCCATATAACCGGTCTCTTCAGGCTCTCTTGTTCTAATCGATCAATACTTTGTTAACCCAATCCTATAGGAGGTTGTGGGGGTTGAATGGAGTAGTGAGGGGGATAAGTAAAGCGAGGGCGATTCTGAAGTGATTCTGGGGGTGATTCTGAAGTGATTCTGGGGGTGATTCTGAAGCGATTCTGAGGGCAATTCTGAAGCGATTATGAAGTGATTCTGAAGCGATTCCGCGATTCCGAGGGTGATTCTGAAGGGATTCTGAGGGTGATTCTGAAGGGATTCTGAGGGTGATTCTGAGGGCGATTCTGAAGTTGATTCTGCTGCTCTCAAATGGCCACACTAACAGGCTCGCACTCTAATAGTCGCTATGAATGTCATGCGTTAAACTGGGCACATCTGGACTCAAGCGTCTAGCACTAAACTGGTCGCACCCAAGCGTATTAATCCCAATAATGGCCGATGTTGGACACGCCAAAGTAGGCGCACGGCCATAACGGCGCAAAGCCATAACTTGCTGAAAAATTTCGGGCCCTTATAGATCTTGATACCAAACGCTTTAGCTTGATGAGAGGAATCGTTTAATACTAAATTAGGCATGATGCGGGAATCTTCACGCAAGTTATAGCTTTGCGCCGGTAGGTCGTGCGCCCACTTGGGCTGTATCCGCTTTATTGATTATGCGGTATTATTTTCCTTTTTTCTCACTTTCTTTGCAAAGTGAATCACACTTTTAACTACCTATATTTTATACAAGCAAAAATTGTTAAATGCTGAAAAATTTATATTTTATTTTTTTCAGGGTTTAAACCTGAGTTCGTACAGAACTCTGTATTGGTCGATTTGGAGGGAATTGATGGGTATCTTAGAGATGAGAATCAATGAAAGTATTGTGAAGAAAAGGTTTTACTGTCCAAACATTAGTACTAACTTAATTCTAAATATTTTTTAGAGATCAATAAATGCGACGAAATTATTCTTTGAGTAACCCAACTAAAATCCTTTGTATTGGTCAAAGTGGATGTAGAAAAAAATGAAAAGAAGACAAAATAATTGATCAATCAAATAGTTTTGAATTTTTGGAGGTTTTCTTTGTTTTATTTTTATAAAATTTTGAAAAAATTTCTTTAAAGAACAGCAACATTGGGACCTTCCAAAGGTTGTGGTGGTTCTCTTAAAGCTTTGGAAAATGAATGGAAGAAATGAAACGTTCCAATAGATCCTCAAACTGAGAATTATTACCCAAATCTTTGTTGTGAACGGAATATTGAGGTAAAAAGCATTTAAGAATAAAATTAGTCAACTTTCAACAATTTTTTTATAACGAACGTGTAAATCTTATAGAAATTCGTTTAAGTGTATTAAAATTAGAACAAAAAAACCTCCACAACAAGAACAAATAAAAATCCTGTTAATTCAACTTTAGCTAATTATGTTGGACTCTTTTATGGAAGTTACCCCTTGTTTTGATTATATAGCTATTTATGATGGACTTAAAGTAAAAATAAGAATTGTTTTCTAATTCACTACAAAAAATTATTTCTAAAGGCAACTTCCTCTCTATTACTTCCACCAAGCTGTAGTTTACCCTTAACTGACAATAATGAATTAAATCCAAATTTTATTTCATCCCATCGCCAAATTGACGTATTTTTCTCTTCTGATTCTAGTACAGAATTAGCTGGAACTGGATTTCAAGTAGATTATTTTAAATTTAATTATTAAAAAAAATTTTTTTGAAGGCTGAATTTAGAGCAATTAAATCTGACTGTGGAGGAGCTTTTTTGGCTGGCCAAGAATGGTCTGATGTTAGTTTTGTTAGTGAGCGGACACTAAAACGGACAAATCAGCGACATAAACGGCAATTATAATTAATTGAAATTTTTTTGAAAATTTATTTTTTTTTTAAGTTGTCGCTGGTTTCTTTACACAGAAAAACAATAACCTTTGGAAGTTATTTTTGTCTAATTTTCATTTCCATCAACCTGCGGTAATTGTTTGAACGAATTTCTGGAACTTCGTGATGTTGGGGCTTAAGTGAATGTCAACATCCTGCTTGTGCTACAGAACCATTACAAGAACAAAAAAGGAAAGAAGTAATTGGTTAGTAATTAATTAAAAGAATAGTGGATGTTTAAAGCAGATGTTTAAAAGTAAAAGAATCCGTCCTTTCCCAAGTCTTATATTATTTCTTTAAATAAGTGATTTTCTTTAGATGGATTAAGGTAGTTCCCTCGAAGCTTATTTAATTCCAAAATCATTTTATAAATAAAAACATTATTTATTCCTGTCATTTCCCTTTAATTTATTCAGGCACCTCAACAGTACATTTCAAGTACTTCAGTTATACAATTAACTGCTTCTGTTCTTCTTCAAAGCCAATTCTCTGTCAGTTTTCGTTTTCGAACTTTTTCTGCTTGCAATCGAAGTATTAAAATTGATGGAAATGGTTAAAGAATTACACAATTTGTTAAAAAGTAATTTTCTTCTTTTAGTTCCCGATGGTGTTTTATTAGCTTCTGGACGTATTACTTCTCCCAAATACTCATATTACCCTTATTTGGAAGGTAGAACAATTAAAATTTTCAAATTTAATTTTTTGTAAATTTTCTTACAAGTTTTAAAATTTTTTAAACATTCACATCGGCAAAAAATAATTAAAACTTAACGTTTTTGCCAAAGTAAAAAAAAAACAGTAAGACTCTCAAGTTAAAAAAAATTTTTTAAATTAATTTTCTAAATTTTTCTTTTTGTTGAACAATAAAAGATCGTTTATTTGATAACTATAAATAAATTCCTAAAACCGAGCAAAATATCTTCACTTAGTTAATTTAAATTCCTTTATAGCATTGTTGTCACTACCACTCGTCATTTCATTAAGCATAGGTTAAGCTATACAAAAGAATTTAAGGGTGTTTATCAATGTAAGCGATCTTTTGTTCGTATAAAAAAATAGGCGTATTTGCTGCAGTCCCCAACTCATTATTCACTAGTTTCATTTTAAAAATTAATTTAGCTAAAAAATTTAATTAAATAAAACAACTTTTAGTTAAGTTTTATATTAATTTAGTGTTAAATTACCTATATTCAATTTTTAAATTTAGTAAAAAATGTCTTCAAATTCTTCTACTGCTTCCCGAAAAAGGAAGAAATCACCAATAACTCAAGTCCGTCCAATTACTAATCAGTTGCATCAAAATATTCCGCAGCAACAACAACAACAACAAATACAAAGTCCCAATTTTCGGGGCTATACAATACCAAAAGTAACTAATGCTAATGTTCCTCAACAACAACAACAACAATTAAGTCCACAAGAAACGGAGGCATTACAAGCAAAACAGGCGTTAGCAGATGAGGTAGATTTTAAAATAAAATTTTATTTAAAAATTAATTTATTAATAAATTAATCAGATAGCCGAAAAACGACGATTGCGTGAAACTACCAGACCAGCAAATCTACATCTATTAACACTAATTGATCCAATTACAAATTTGACGAGTACTGACGTATTAATGCTAGCATGGAAAAAGAATGATATATTTGAGTGAGTTTTTTGGGGGAAGGGGGGGGGGGTAAATCTTAAAAAAAATAAATTTAAGAGAGTTAAAAGGCGTAGTGGTATTTGTGAAGCGTGCGTTAACAACAAAAAATAAATACGACAGGGGAGATCTTGTAGTGGAGGTCGGACAGACTCACGAGAAAGAGCGCATTTCAATTTTCGGCTGGAACGAGCAGGCATCGAAATTGGAGACAGCAAATATTAATGATGTAATTTAATTAAATTTCTTATAAATTTTAAATGTTTGTTAATTATAGATAGTGGTGTTAAAAAACTTGATCGTTGTACCTGAGGACAATGAAAGAGTAAACTGGGCAGGATCGATAGATTTCAAATTAAAATTTGCAAAAAACTCAACTTTAACAATTGTAGAACAAGGGCAAATTGCGGCGTCTCAGCAGACTACAAATATGATAGGTAGTTAAAAATTTTGTGTTTTTCGAAAAATAATCTGAGTGAATAAGCGAAAATTTTATTTAAATTTTTATTTTAAAAAATTGTATTTAAATTTTTTAAAAAAAATATTATTTAGAGGAAGGTCCTTCAACATCTGCAGCAAATCAAAATCCTCATGTTGGTAATGTGCAGAACTCTTCTTATGCCAGCAATACAACTGCTGCTATTGACAGAGATGTCGAATATGTGAGTATTTATAAATCCTATGGTTTAACGTTTTACATGTACCGTTTGAATTAGAACTTTATTTAAAAAAATACAACATTAAAATTGAATTGTTATTAATTTAAAATTTAATTAAAAAAACTTTTATTACAATTTTCAAGGATTTTGAAGATTTATGATTTGCTTATTTACTAAAAAGAAGAAAAGAACAAGTTAAAATTGAATTTATTTAGAAATTAAAATTAAATTGAATGAAACTTATTAAAATTTTTTCATTAATTTTTAATTTTCGATTAATTTGCTTTTATGTTTCCAAAAATAAAAATTGTACGTTTGTTTATTATTTGAATGAAATAGAAATTTGAAAAAAATTTTTAAAAATTAAAAAAATTGTTTTGAGAAAATTTTTTTTGAAATAATTTATTAAGTAATATGAAATACAGATTCGAAAAAAATTTATAAATTGTTTGAAATTTTTTTTTAATTTTTGTAAAAATTTGATTTTGTTTAGTAATTAAAATGAAAGATAGATGTGAAAAAAATCTTTAAAAAATTTGAAACCTGCTCTTCTTCAAAGCCAATTCTCTGTCAGTTTTCGTTTTCGAACTTTTTCTGCTTGCAATCGAAGTATTAAAATTGATGGAAATGGTTAAAGAATTACACAATTTGTTAAAAAGTAATTTTCTTCTTTTAGTTCCCGATGGTGTTTTATTAGCTTCTGGACGTATTACTTCTCCCAAATACTCATATTACCCTTATTTGGAAGGTAGAACAATTAAAATTTTCAAATTTAATTTTTTGTAAATTTTCTTACAAGTTTTAAAATTTTTTAAACATTCACATCGGCAAAAAATAATTAAAACTTAACGTTTTTGCCAAAGTAAAAAAAAAACAGTAAGACTCTCAAGTTAAAAAAAATTTTTTAAATTAATTTTCTAAATTTTTCTTTTTGTTGAACAATAAAAGATCGTTTATTTGATAACTATAAATAAATTCCTAAAACCGAGCAAAATATCTTCACTTAGTTAATTTAAATTCCTTTATAGCATTGTTGTCACTACCACTCGTCATTTCATTAAGCATAGGTTAAGCTATACAAAAGAATTTAAGGGTGTTTATCAATGTAAGCGATCTTTTGTTCGTATAAAAAAATAGGCGTATTTGCTGCAGTCCCCAACTCATTATTCACTAGTTTCATTTTAAAAATTAATTTAGCTAAAAAATTTAATTAAATAAAACAACTTTTAGTTAAGTTTTATATTAATTTAGTGTTAAATTACCTATATTCAATTTTTAAATTTAGTAAAAAATGTCTTCAAATTCTTCTACTGCTTCCCGAAAAAGGAAGAAATCACCAATAACTCAAGTCCGTCCAATTACTAATCAGTTGCATCAAAATATTCCGCAGCAACAACAACAACAACAAATACAAAGTCCCAATTTTCGGGGCTATACAATACCAAAAGTAACTAATGCTAATGTTCCTCAACAACAACAACAACAATTAAGTCCACAAGAAACGGAGGCATTACAAGCAAAACAGGCGTTAGCAGATGAGGTAGATTTTAAAATAAAATTTTATTTAAAAATTAATTTATTAATAAATTAATCAGATAGCCGAAAAACGACGATTGCGTGAAACTACCAGACCAGCAAATCTACATCTATTAACACTAATTGATCCAATTACAAATTTGACGAGTACTGACGTATTAATGCTAGCATGGAAAAAGAATGATATATTTGAGTGAGTTTTTTGGGGGAAGGGGGGGGGGTAAATCTTAAAAAAAATAAATTTAAGAGAGTTAAAAGGCGTAGTGGTATTTGTGAAGCGTGCGTTAACAACAAAAAATAAATACGACAGGGGAGATCTTGTAGTGGAGGTCGGACAGACTCACGAGAAAGAGCGCATTTCAATTTTCGGCTGGAACGAGCAGGCATCGAAATTGGAGACAGCAAATATTAATGATGTAATTTAATTAAATTTCTTATAAATTTTAAATGTTTGTTAATTATAGATAGTGGTGTTAAAAAACTTGATCGTTGTACCTGAGGACAATGAAAGAGTAAACTGGGCAGGATCGATAGATTTCAAATTAAAATTTGCAAAAAACTCAACTTTAACAATTGTAGAACAAGGGCAAATTGCGGCGTCTCAGCAGACTACAAATATGATAGGTAGTTAAAAATTTTGTGTTTTTCGAAAAATAATCTGAGTGAATAAGCGAAAATTTTATTTAAATTTTTATTTTAAAAAATTGTATTTAAATTTTTTTAAAAAAATATTATTTAGAGGAAGGTCCTTCAACATCTGCAGCAAATCAAAATCCTCATGTTGGTAATGTGCAGAACTCTTCTTATGCCAGCAATACAACTGCTGCTATTGACAGAGATGTCGAATATGTGAGTATTTATAAATCCTATGGTTTAACGTTTTACATGTACCGTTTGAATTAGAACTTTATTTAAAAAAATACAACATTAAAATTGAATTGTTATTAATTTAAAATTTAATTAAAAAAACTTTTATTACAATTTTCAAGGATTTTGAAGATTTATGATTTGCTTATTTACTAAAAAGAAGAAAAGAACAAGTTAAAATTGAATTTATTTAGAAATTAAAATTAAATTGAATGAAACTTATTAAAATTTTTTCATTAATTTTTAATTTTCGATTAATTTGCTTTTATGTTTCCAAAAATAAAAATTGTACGTTTGTTTATTATTTGAATGAAATAGAAATTTGAAAAAAATTTTTAAAAATTAAAAAAATTGTTTTGAGAAAATTTTTTTTGAAATAATTTATTAAGTAATATGAAATACAGATTCGAAAAAAATTTATAAATTGTTTGAAATTTTTTTTTAATTTTTGTAAAAATTTGATTTTGTTTAGTAATTAAAATGAAAGATAGATGTGAAAAAAATCTTTAAAAAATTTGAAACCTGCTTGAAAAAAGTTTTTTGAATTTGCTTATTAACTAAATGAAATAGAGATTTTAAAAAAAATTAAAAAAATTTTTCAAATGATTTGAAAAAAATTTGTTATACTGAAAAAAAATTTTTTAAATAAAAGTTTTTAAAAATTTGTTTGAATTTGTTTATTAACTAAATGAAATAGAGATTGGAAAAAAAAATTTAAAAAATTGTGTTAATGATTTGAAAAAAAATTTTTTTAAATGATTTGAAAAAAAATTTTTAATTGTGAAAAAATTTGAGATTGTTTATTATTTAAAATGAAATTGAAAAAAGGATTTGAAAAAATCTTAAAAAATGAAATTGTTTATTATTAAAAATGAATCAAAATTTGAAAAAAAGCTTTAAAATATTTAAAAATTTTTATAGTATTTTGATAAAATAAAACTTGGTTTTGAATTAAATATATCATGATAAAAATATTTATTTTCATTCTTGTCTAAAATAAAACATTCTTGTCTAAAATAAAATAAAATTTTATTTCTGAATGTGTAGTATTTAAAATGAAATTGAAAAAAGGATTTGAAAAAAATCTTAAAAAATGAAATTGTTTATTATTAAAAATGAATCAAAATTTGAAAAAAAAGCTTTAAAATATTTAAAAATTTTTATAGTATTTTGATAAAATAAAACTTGGTTTTGAATTAAATATATCATGATAAAAATATTTATTTTCATTCTTGTCTAAAATAAAATTTTTATATTTTATGAAATGGAATTTGATTATTCTTTTTAGTTTTTTAAAAAATAAAATTTTATTTCTGAATGTGTAGTATTTAAAATGAAATAGAAATTTGAAAAAGGAAAAAAAAATTTGAAATTGTTATCATTTAAGATGGAATTTTTTGTTTAAAATTGAATAAGCTTAATGATAACGAATTATTATAAATACAATGATATTATTGTTTTCACAATAATTTTTTAATGAAATTTTTTCAAATGATATATCACTAAATTAGAATAAAAATTCGAATTTAATCAAAAGAAATCAAACGGTACATGATATTCAAAATTTTAGGGGGATTTTAATTAATCATTAGTATTTACTTTTTTAATTATTCTGACAGGGATACGTGAAAAACAAACGTTAGATAGTCTTACCTACTCTCTAAAATAAATACTCACTAGCTTTTTTTTAAAAAAAAGCTAGGGGGCCTTTTTTTGTAGGAAGAAGTGTCACCTTCTTCTGAATTGGCACAGGAGTCGCTTCATGCCGAATCAAATCCACAAGTAAATTTTATTCTTTTTTTTACTATTTTTTAACAAAAAATATAATAGAGATTATATGGTAATCCTGGACATACTCCCCCAGCTCCAGGAATTGTAAGTTATGTAGTACCACCAGAAGATCCTGATGCAATTTATTTCCGCGGAGAACGCCGCATTCATGATATTGATTTACCAAAAAAAGGACTGAATGGTAAAGAACGAAATATATTATTAGCTTCCCGTGTGCAACTGGCAGCAACATATAAATCTAAAGAAGAGGATCCTCTTTGCGGAGTATGTGTACGTGATTTTATGCCGAAACAAAGCGTAATTTTTTTACCATGTTCCCATAAATTGCACAAAACGTGTTTTTGGGATTTATCCCGTTTTTATAGACATTGTCCTACTTGTAAATACGACATGGGTCGGGGCCTACAAATTCCATAGTAGGGTATTTTTTAAGTCAATTAAATTATAAAATGAGAGTAGAACATTAAAAATTAGGAAGGTCTCATTTTGCAATTTAATCGACTAAAAATCTTTTGTGCCCTACTCTGGAATTTGGAGGCTATACACGTCGGATTACTTGTCTAGCACGTGTCCAAAAAAATTTTTTTTTGAA